CCCGCCCCGTATTTAACCAGCGGTCCCCACATCCCTGCTGGCTCTCCAAGACGTTCTGTGAAGGGGAATTCACCCACTTTTCTTCCAGCTCCCTCCCACCCTGATCACTCCTTTGGGAAATTTTTCTAAAATTGCCTTTGCCTCTTGATCTTGGGTGACCTCTTGTCCAGGACCTTCAACCCCCCATGATGAGACTGGGTCATGCTTTAGGATGGTGTAAAGGGAGGAGAGCTGGGGACCTCTTCTCTTGTACCCATGAAGAGCTGGACACAGGTTATAAGAGAAGAGATTCCTCTCCCTCCCACCCAAAATACTTTGCAAACCGGAGTGTGCCCAGCTGCGTCCTTGTGCCGCGAGGGCTGCCCACCTCGGCCGGGTTGTACGTCAGCTAAAATAATAGTGCAGGGCGGAGAGACGAAACCCTGAGCAGCTAAATCAAAAAGATTCTCGAAATTGGCTACGTGAGCAACAAGTACAGGCGCTTAATCCAAAATGAGCAGCTTAAGGCTATCTGCTGCATCTCATAGCTTGTCTCTGTTGATGTGTTTCCAACCGCTGTTTTCTCTGTCTGGGAACTTGAAAGAGCAGAAGGTTGGGTTTTTTGTTTTGTTTTGTGTTGTGTTTTGTTTTTTTTTTTTCCTCATTGCAATCAGAAAAAGTCAGCGCTTGCAACCATCATCTCCTGCAAGCGCTCCTGTCGCTGTTCATTGCCAATCGCCTGAGTCACCAGCACCCGCAGCGCCTTCGGGCAAGAGCTATCGGGAAGCCAATCCTTGGACGGGCTGTTGCAAGGCACTAAAGGGAGATGGCTGGGCGGTAGCGAGAGGGTGCTCTCACCTCGGGAGTGGAGATGTGGGAACCTCCTAGGTGCTGGAAACACCAAAGTTTCACAGGGAAAACTGCACCCAGGCTCGCGCATCCAGAAGCAACGACCCCCCCCCCATTTCATAGGTGATGCACAGCAGCAGGTAACCTCAATAATAACACCACTGGGGTTACGCTGATACTGGAAATAAATAAATTGTGTTATAAACATGGCAGATGTATGGAGATTTGCTTCTCTAAGCCTGCAGATGTGAATTGGCCCATGTGTGCCAGATCCTGTGGATGGGGGCCAGGCCTTTGACTTCCAAAGAGCTATGCAAAGTCACACCTGGGAACCAGAGCACAGGCTGCAAATGTTTTAATTAAAGCAAAGAGAAAGGATTCATGTCGAAGGCAGTCATTACCTCCCCAGCTCTTCTAGGAAAGCCTGTTGCTGCAGACAACGGTAATTAAGTAGAATATTACAAAGGCTTTGGAAGAGTAAAGCAAATGATGGTTTTAGGCACCAAAACGAGGAAAATTCTGGCAGAATCTCTCAGTCCCGCACAGTTTCCTTGCTTGGTTTGTGTTGCTGACATGTGCCGTCCTCCTAAAGCTGGGTTTGCCCCCTCCGAGAAGAAGGTTGCCTGTAGAGAGGGTGGCAATTTGGGAGGCAGGATTTGCTACAGAGGGGTTGCCTGGAGGGTGAGGGCACTGCCGGGGATGCAGAGCAAAGGGAGGAGGAATGGGGCCGGCCGAGATGTTTGCAGGAGCTCAGCTGCCTGTGAGCGCCACTTTTAGACTCTGTTATTTGCTTTTTTTTTTCCAGCACAGGCTGGAAGAAAGACATTCAAAACTTTTAAGGTTAGGTTGTCATTAGCTGTATTAGTTCCTCGCACCTGTGCGGTGTAATTCAGCCTTTGCACAGGTGTGTACAGAAATCGAGGTGACTCAGAGTTTATTTTTAACCTTCACTAATTTTTGGTCTGTCTGTCTGCAACATCCTCTGCGACAGCAGGGACCGAGGAGTTGGGTTTTGTCCCTGGACTTTGGCCTTTCTTGCTGCGGCTCCTTTGATTTTCTGGGTGAAGAGAGATTTGATGCTCCCGTGTTTCGGTGCATCTGGGTTTCAGTGAGGTCTTGCTGCAGTGATTGTGAGCGTCTCCTCTAAACCTGCTGGGCTTTCGTGTATTTGCTTGCTCTTTCCCATTTACTGCGCCGAGTTACGTAAAGCCGGGATGTTGAGAGGTCAGGGAAGAGCGAAGCGTCTGACTCTTTGAAATGCAATAAGGTGTGAGTGTTTGTCTGAGGGTTGGGTTTGGGTTTTTTTTAAAAAAACTCCTTTTTTCTTTTTTATTCTCCTTTTGCAATGACGGCTGACCAAAATACCTGTATCAGTTGGGGAGTTGCTGTGCTCCAGCTCACCAAAACCCATCCTCAAGCTAGATCATCCTGAAAAAATCCTCCCCCAGAGCCCTGTATACGCTTAGTTTTGCTGTGTCTTTTTAAGAAAGCAAAAATTAAATACTGGGGTTTTAACCGAGCTAGCAGAGCTGTGCAAAACCCTCCCTTCCATGGAAGAAAGGCTTTTGGATTAACCCAAATCATATATTAAGAAATGAACAGGGATTAATTTTTTTGGTCACTTAATGGATAAACCCCCACCCTCCTCCTCCTCCTCCTCTTTTCTCTGATTCTTCACTTTGTTTTAGATCAACTGATTTCAAGCTTTTCATTACAATTTTATCAGAATTTTGAAACTTTTCCCCCAAAGTAAAGCAAAAAGCCCCCTCCAACTCACTCTGCTGAAACTTGGGACTATTTCATGCTGCTGGTTCTGGTTTAGAAGAAAAATATGTAGGAACAAATAAATTAGAATCCAGTTTTATTGAACACATTCCAATAAGAGAGAGGAAGGAAAACACAGCGTCATATCACTATCATTGAAGTATAAAAAGCTGCAATTTTCTTTTTTTAATGATACTTTCACAAAAGTAAAAAGACAGAGTGGAAGGCTAGAGGGGTAAATTCCATCAGAAAGGGGAAAGTGGATTTTGGGCACTGGGGTACCTTTGGGCTCCTGCTCCCGATTGCCTCATTTCCCATGTGCCGAGCTGAAACCCGACTGCACTTCTCAGTTTACCAAATCTCTGTCTTTTGGCAGAGAAAGCCACACACAGTGGAGATGCTGAAATAACCCCAGGAGCAGTGTGGGCATGGCCCTTCAGGCAGTTTTTTCAGTGTAATTTTCACCGTCTCAGACTTTCACCTCGACTGCTGCTACCAAGGCAGTGAGAAAGGTCAAGGTCAGCCAGACTTGGACTGTTGGATGGTTTGGGCTTTTTTTTTTTTTTTTTAAAGGCATTCCAGCAAAACCTAGCATGAGATAGGACAGCAACCCAGTTTAACTGCGAACATCGATCTTGCTCTGCCTCGGTTATTATTGAGAATTTTTAAAATCCTGTCATTTAGAAAACAAGCCCTTTTCCATATGCTTTGTATCGGTCACTGATGGCTTCTCTGACAAAATACACCCACGAGAATACGCATAAGGTGCCACTATGGGCAAACTTGCATTGAAGACGAGAAAGGACAGGAATGGAAGAGTAGTTTGGGTTTCCTTTGAGATAAGCTCATTGCAAGTTGACTCCACATCCCTGTGGCTGGTACTTTTCAGATGGAGGTATCTCAGATTGCTTTCCTAATGTTATGCTCTGGACCACTGGCCAGGCTCATGTGGCTGACTTTGCACAGCTGCGATGCTCAGCACATCTGGAAGAAATATGTTTTTCAAAGCTTGGCCATGAATGGAGAAAAGAGGGATTTTTTTTTTTAATTTTTTTTTCCATAGCACTCAAGTGACACAGAAGCGACTTCTAACAGGCTCTGTGCTCCCATAACAAGGGATATTTTAAGAGGGGCCGCACACTTGCAAACCACTGCCTGGGATCTTTCAGCAACCTCCTGCGGTATTTCTACATAGCAGAAAAATAACCCACATTTCTGATAAAGATGAGTTGCTTAACTTGGAGGAGTGAGTTTGGTTCATCCCAGCAGTGAAGACAAAGTGGGCTGAACTGAAGCCCGGTTCCCAGCCCATCCCTGTGCTTCTGTGGGCCAGAACCAAGCTAAAAACCCAAGTTGTTGCATCTTCACCG